ATTACCCCAAACTAATCAAATCTGCGCATTAGTTCAGAGCATCCATGTGCCAAGTTTCATTGAAATCCAATGAGTGGTTCTTCAAAAATCAGTGGACCAGTCATGGAACAGCTTGAAATCAGTTAATTATCATTCAAATTAGGTAATTAATATTCATAGATTTTTACCCAAAACTAATCAAATCTGCGCACTAGTTCAGAGCATCCATGTGCCAAGTTTCATCAAAATCCAATGAGTGGTTCTTCAGATATCAGTGGAACAGTCTTGGAACAGCTAAAAATCAGCTAATTATCATGCAAATTAAGTAATTAATATTCATAGATTTTTAACAAAACCTAATCAGCTCTGCGCATTATCCCAGGGCATCTATGTACCAAGTTTCACCAAAATTTGATTAGTGGTTCTTGAGATAACAGTGGAACAAAAAAAGTGACATACATACTACATACATACAGACATACATACATACATATATACAGGGGTAACTGCAAAGACTCACTTTTGTGCTTCACACACGGGAGTCAAAATTTATGACTAATGTATATATCTATAACATGATGTATAACGAATATATAAAATTTGAAAATAATCAGTCAAAGCATGTCAGAAATATGGCTCTAGAAGCCCAATCATTGAAACAAAATGGCCACCAGTCAGCCATTTTGAATCCGTTCGGAAAAATTAAACGATGTGCATCAGGAACCAGTAATATCTAATGTATGTACTAAGTTTGAACAAAATCCATTCATAAATGCCAGGAATGCTTGATATTTGATGATTTTTTTAACACAAAAATGGCCAACATTCGGCTATTTTGCATAGGATCGTCAAACCAATATATCTGTATATCTATGACATGATGTATAATGAATATTAAGATGTTCAACTTTTTGACATCACGTTTTCTGAGCCGTACGTCGAACCTGTACAATTTTTTGATTTCATCAATGCTTCAGTCATTAGTAGTATCATGAAAAGTTTTATTTTTAACATTGGAATCATTTCTTCGAACGATTTTTGTTTTCAAATCGGACATCAGTCGTGGAGTGATCGGTAAGGTAGCATACAGACTGAATTTCTGATGTTTTACGGATTCCTATAAACCAGTCGCAATTCGATTTTTTTTTGACATTACAATAATCTTTTCTTTAACGCACATGCAGACCCAAATAAACTTACGGTAGAAGCCGGTAATTACGTTGGTTACTATTTACTAACTTAATGTTCGTTGAAACTGATGCTTTCATCGTGTCACCACCTATTTTAAGCTGTCGCAATTGTCGGTATTACTGTGTGTTTTTTTACAATCCGTGAACAACTAGGAATTTCGCATTTCACAAGCAAATAGATTGACTGCCACCAGCAGTGCCAACTCATGGTGTCTGAGTGGTTGTGCCACGTTAACAGAAAACAAAAGCCATAGACTTATACAGTAAGAAAACTTCATTTAAGACGGTGGCCTAAGTGTAAGGGTAGCGATCGGAAACAAAGCATGGCGGTCCTATCGCCAAGCATGGCGGTGCAGCCGTGCTTTTGTAGGTGAATGGGTATAGAAATATGCAAGTAAAATAAATCCAACGAAAACACTATATACCCTCAGTTTATGCAAATTACTGATATTCCACTCAAATATATGTCAGCAGTGTACATCTTAAGCCCTGCTTAAGTTGTGGAAAGTTACTAGATTGTGTCTGCACTTGCTTTTGACATTGAATCCATAAACTGAGTCAACATAAACCAAGCAGTAGGCAGCATTATAAATATATTTAATGTATTTATTTTTTAGGTAACGAAAAGTACACTCTAAAAAAAAACATACTGTAAAATGACTAATTTTCACTGGGTTTAAATTTCACTGATTTACCATTTCAGGCATATTCAGTGGGTTTTAAATTCACGGTTTCGTTATTTAGATAATGTGTTCTATGCTAAATGTTACATATTCACTGTGTTTTAATTTAGCGCATTTTTCCAGTCAGCGAAATAAGCTAAATTAAAACCCAGTGAACAATTACCCCCTTTACAGTAGTTGAACTCTGGTGACATTGCCCTTTGTTATTTAATATTATTCCCTTCATCATAGTTTGTTTCAATATGAATATGCATTGTCATAATTAATTTTGATTACAAACAAGTTTTAGATAGATTTAAATATCGTACAAAAACACTGGTGCCTAATTTGTTTAATCATTTTAAGGAACATAATTTCCAGCTTTATTCAAAGTAATTCAGATTTTTTAGTATAAAAACAAATGCCTCATCTCAGAGAAAAAGTGCTGCATTTAAAGAGGAATAGATTCATAAACCATGCAAGATAACAGAAAGTATTTTGTACAGGTGTCTATCAAAAGTTAATGATTCACTGGGACAAATATGAACTGCCTTATTATATTCATCGTGACTACTGTAATATTTGAAAAGTAAAAAAACGCCCTCTATGAATAGCTATCATGTTGCAAGCTCTGCTTTGTATGCAAATCAACTTAAATAGTTAGTTGGTGTCCAGTGGAGAGAGAAGTCAACAGTACTTTGCCTCCTGAGACTCTACATCTTCAAACACTGCAATCTTTGTTTTTAAAGTGCGTTTTTAAATTACTATTATGAAAGCACTATCATTCTGTTCTAATAGCTGAAACAAATTCCTGTGAATTTTCATTTGTCAAATGAACTGTTTGTCAAATACAGAATACCTATTTTTGAGTACAATTTTTTTTCAATGTGGATGCAACGTTTTGCTTTTTATGTATTTTTTTATGTATTGTTTTTGATTTGATAACTTTGAACTAAACAGATTTTCTATTAGCTTCAGATCTTGATCAAAGTTTGACACCCAATTCATAGGAGTGCTTATATTGATTTTCTGACATCTTGTTTTCTGAAAAGATTTTAGGTTTGCAAATGTGTATCAGACTGTGCAAAAACTCTCTCCATGAGTTGGTTTTGAAACCCAGTCTAGTATTCCCATGGGATTTGGGAGTAACATTACCAAGGATATTATTACAAGATAGATGATTTGCTTAATTGAACACATACAGCAATGCATATTTCCACGGAGATCAGTGACCTTTGAATGTGTATAACCAGTGATCAGTCAAGTAGAAACAGTCAAAATATTTTATCAGATTTTCTTAATTTTTGCATATTTTCATACAGAACATCTGTTGTTCAAACTCAGGAAAGACTTTATACTGATGAATAAGGTGACCAAGTTTGATAGTTTGGAATAGAATTAGTAATGTTATTGTGCACACAATGACAATTATTAACGACGACGACAACGACAACGCTGGACAGAAATTTTCCCTTAATATACCTTTCCCTTCCATCTTCGATGTTACGGGCAAGGTAAAAACACAAATGCATTGCTTAGTAGCTAATGATTACGGTGTGAGTAGCGAAAGTGTTGCAACTGTTGATCATTACTGAGTAGTGATTATAATAATGAACAAAAATAAATTGTGGAATTATTATGAAATGTGTAAAGTAAAATTCAACTTAGTTTCATGCAAACACTCAATGTGCTACGATATCCATTATGTTTTTTTTTTCCATACACAAGTTGACCTGAAACTGTTCTTTGACCTGATAGGTCAAGTCGCTAATTAACCAATCAAAATGCTGGATGGGGCCAAAGTGTTCAAATTACTATAGCCCATTTAAATAAGTTAATGACAGTTCAGCGACATAATGGTGAATGAAATATGGAAGAGATTTACCGATGATATAAGTACAATCTTTTGGCATTGATGATAAGAAAACAGCATGATTTAGTTTTAGAAAGATAAACTTCAGCATTGAAAGAGAATTTAACACATTTTACAGTGATAACAGCTCATTGTAGAAATAAAGGTTACTAATTCACGCTAGCAACAATTATCATATTCCTTAACAGGCATCAGTGAGAACAGAAAACCTAAATTGAACTAGAAAAGATTGCAATGTTTGAACAATGAAGTCTAAATTAGAGATTTTATGGTATTCATTAAAGTGTTTATTGTGACTAGCAGCACTTGTAACGAGAAATTAAGTTCAGGTATGATATCTGTATTAATGTTATCATGGAAAAGATTTGAATTGAGATGCAACTTGTCAAGCTCATTTTTTCAGATCAAATGGTACAGTAACATCACATGCAAAGCAATTCTGTGGTCTGGTTCAGGGTTTGAGACATTGTTAAAATATTTTATCAGCAAAGCAAATCAAACATCTTCAAAGTATGAAGGTTTTACAATGCTTGAACTATGCTATTCTGAATGAAGGATAATTTTACATAATAATCTATCATATTAATTAGGTTAGTAGTACTTTGTTATGCAAATAAGCTAAAAAGCTGGTCAGATTTAATGTTTATAACATTCCCCGTTCTGCACAATGCCAAGTATTGAATAATATATCATTTGTTTTTTGTCTATTTTAAAAAATAACATTGAAAAAACCATTTCAGAAACTAATACCTAAAATCACTGTATTAAATAATGACTATCCAAATGATATGAAAACTGAAATAATTAAATCAATGGGAGTCTGTCATTGTTTACAATTTCCAAATTACAGTTGAAAAGAATGTGTAATTTAGTGTGAAAAAACAAGTTTGAAATTGTAAAATATTTTTAAAATAGAATATTACAAAGGTTATATATTTTCATATCAGTACATCTTGTACAAGAATACAACACTGCATGTAAACATTTCACTTTCAGTGTATAGAAGAATACTTTTTCTTCCACAACAAGAAATCTTTTGTCCCCTCAAGTCAATTTCAAGTCGAAACAGTATGAGACCACCAGTTATTATACTGGGCAGAATGTGACAACTCACCATCAGCAACCTGACCAAATTTACTCATTTCCAGCTCTAAAGCAGTTTCATCTGTGTCAGCACTAAGCCCAGCAAGATAGACTTTAGTTGGTTCGTCTTTTACGTCTGATTGATCCGCCATCTTAGCAGTCTTAAATGTATTAATTCACAATTCAGCTGAAATAAACAATGTTGTCAATTTAAACCCTAATGAAATATATACATAATAACAATGAGGACAAATTTAAATTACTTACATAGATGGAAAACAACTGTAAACGTGAAAACACAGTTTGATTGCCAATGAAATCAGAAATTGCATGACCTAATTTACTGTACTATTACTAATTCTAAATTGATCATTCAATGTGGTTAAATCTCCAATTTGTATATTAACATACGAGAAACATACACAAATAACAAATTCAAAAGCACATCTCGACTTCGCATCTTCTTCAAATTCAGATTAGACATAGAGTAAGTTTTAGTGAATCCTTTTGTTCTTGGAGAAGACACGACGTTGTCAAACGAACATGTGCCACACACTAAGAGGCGAGGCCGCCAATTTCAAGGAAGGAAAACCCGATCGAAAAACGTTTGTAGGAGGGTGTTCCGGTTAAACAGACGAACAGGAAAAATACTGTGAATTTAAAAGATATCAAGGTTTTGGACTTGAATAAGATTAAAAAGACATTATGAAATACTCACAAATTAAATACAGCAAATGTTCGAAGATTTTCCCCTACAACAAAATGGCTACGTGCAAGGAACTCTGGGATAGCTTGGTGGGGGCGCTTTGCTGATTCTTTCGTTCATTGGCTACTTCGCCTTCAGCGCGAGTAAAAGGTGCGAAATGTTATATTCACTGTATTTGTCACCATAATATGCTCCATCTGCGTCATTAAACTATTTTAAATTTTTCTGAATTAAATAGGTCAGAAAGAATATGTTAAATGTATTTTTTCATTAATGATTCTGCCATGGAGCTTTGTGATTTAACTCATCGATGTTATCTACATAGATTGGCACAACATCAGTCAACTACAGTCAACCGCACCGCAAAACTTGGACTTTCTAATAGTACTTTTATTGACGTAACAGTATATTAAGGTTATACAGCAGTATGGCCAATAAATACAACACTAAAATGGAATATACATAGTCTGCAAAATCTATTATAACGTTAGTTTCCGGAGCACTCAATGTATATTGTAATTATATTTATTCACCATGTATAAATTTGCCAATGTCGATAAAATTAATAAAGTTAGTTTATCACTCTTAAATGAATTGTCCTTTTTTTTAAATTTGACCTCTGAATCAGTGCAGGCGGCTGCACGGAATTTTGCATGGGAGGGGGGTCTGCTGACCAGCCTTGCGCCGAAGCCGCGATATTACTCGGGGCGATAGGGCATGCTACCTCTTAAAAATGTTAAAATACAGACCATCTGAAACGCTATTTCCTGCATTTTGAAGGGAAGACTTAAGATGAAATTGAATTCCATAAGTGCACCCGGAGTAGCATTGACGCTGCAGGTCGGCGTCTTCTACACTGATCTGACGCATATCGCGCAAGGTGTGCCGGGAATTTGTTCGAAATTTCGAACGTTTCGAAGTTAGTCGTCGGTTGGCACGTATTTTACAGAATGGGTCATGGGTCTGTTTACTAAATAATGATAAATGAAACTCTGAAAACTTGTAAGAACAAACTGGGCCCAAATTGCGCAAATTTGCAATAACTTTACGCTACTAGTGTCTGGTTAGGACTGCCGTTCCATGCGTGATTTTATCGCGTTAAAGGATTTTCTTTTTTCGAACTAGTTGAAACCGGAAATTACGCAAGTACTTTCGAACTTCAAAAGCAAATTTGATTATCGTTATTATGTGTTAGTTTCTGTTGTTTCGAAAATTGGATTATTAATGACATTAATATTTCGCTCACTGAACAATATTTCACTAGAATTGAGTTGAGTTGAAAGAAAAAAAAGGAAAAAAATTATATTCGCTGGATTTTTTTTTAGCCAAAATCGGCTGGTAATAAGGCGTCATATGATACAGGTCTGTGCTGGAACAGCGCTTCCTGTGACGACACAACGCCCGGAGTAGTTAAAACTTCGTCTAATATAATGCGTTCTAATTTTAACAACTGAGGGTGGATTTGAGATGAAGATATGTTTTTGTAGCTGTAAATGTTGATATTCGTCGATGGATTTACACATTACTGTCTTCTATTACTTAAATTAAGCGATGCCATATTGCTAAGCATGTCGCTTGTGTCTTTCTTCTCCCTCATAATTATTCGACCTGCTTGATTCTAGAGTACCTGTAATCTGTGGAGACTATCAGCGTCATAATTATTCGACCTGCTTGATTCTAGAGTACTTATAGTTGTGTCTAATTTCAAACCTTGATCAGTCACACGTTTGTACACACGTTCACTTACACAAATAACCTGATATCCAATGCTATCTGATTATCAAATCAGTGCTGTGATGCGTAATACAACCAGACAGTACTGACCGTGAGAAAGTCATGATATAATGCCAACTCAAAATTATGACATAATGCCAACTCAAAATCATGACATAATGCCAACTCAAAATCATGACATAATGCTAACTCAAAATCATGACATAATGCCAACTCAAAATCATGACATAATGCTAACTCAAAATCATGACATAATGCCAACTCAAAATCATAACATAATGCTAACTCAAAATCATGACATAATGCCAACTCAAAATCATAACATAATGCCAACTCAAAATCATGACATAATGCCAACTCAAAATCATGACATAATGCCAACTCAAAATCATGACATAATGCTAACTCAAAATCATGACATAATGCCAACTCAAAATCATGACATAATGCTAACTCAAAATCATGACGTAATGCCAACTCAAAATCATAACATAATGCTAACTCAAAATCATGACATAATGCTAACTCAAAATCATGACATAATGCCAACTCAAAATCATAACATAATGCTAACTCAAAATCATGACATAATGCCAACTCAAAATCATGACATAATGCCAACTCAAAATCATAACATAATGCCAACTCAAAATCATGACATAATGCTAACTCAAAATCATGACATAATGCCAACTCAAAATCATGACATAATGCTAACTCAAAATCATGACATAATGCCAACTCAAAATCATGACATAATGCTAACTCAAAATCATGACATAATGCTAACTCAAAATCATGACATAATGCTAACTCAAAATCATGACATAATGCCAACTCAAAATCATGACATAATGCTAACTCAAAAACATGACGACTTCAAACTTTATGCAAATAAATCAAAATGTGAAATTTGATACAATTTTAGACCTGGTGACGTCAAAGGTGATTGCCATCTGCCAATCGCCTTGATTATGACAGTCATCACACACCGACAGCTCAACCAATGGTTGCCTAAGCCGCTTAAAATCGGTCTTTAGAAATAAGTTTGAGCGGAGTGTAACCACGGTAAGTTCCAATAATTACTCTTGTTGTAAAACTATCAACTCTGTTGTTTTTAACTAACTGTGAACTTTAACTTGAAGTACACTTGAGTATAGTTTGTATTTACAAAAGGACATCGTATGTGAAAATACTAAAATCAGACAATGAGCGACCTATTTATGACTTGTTCATAATCTATCACTTCGACGAGAAAACGATATTGTGCAACGAGTAGGGGTACTACGGTGGACCATAACTACAAATTC